CTGATATTTACGTTGAGGAAAATGTCTAAAGTATAACTAAAACTTTGAATTGATGTGAAGTGGTAGGCTTTTTGACGCGTAATATACATACGCCCTTACCTTCAGGCATAGTAATTAGTAATATTAACATTTATCTGTATGCCTCCTTGGTACTTTCTTCTGGAACTGGTCAAAAGTTTTATCTATCTTCCAGTCAGTATCGCTGTAACATTATTCATATAGAGATTGGTAGTTTGTTCCCTGAGGTACCTTTTAGAAACAACGACTTCACAGTGATAAATACTTCTCTCCAATCTTCTATGCATCATACAGATATTCAGATAAACTGTAGTATTAGGAAAGACACAATTTTTCGGCAGCAGATGGAATTAATACGGTTATTCATAAACGGGATTCATCAATCAATATTTAATTGCAGCTTTACGACATTTAAGGTATTTAAGATGCTGATCCTGCTTCCGGTTCATAGGTAGTCACATCTATCAATCATTTGAGGAAAATCAAATTTAAAACATAAGTTTACGATGCGGTATTTGGCATTATCAGGCTGTCTAGTCCAGGTGAGTTTGTAAATCTGTGAGTTAATAAGCGATGGTTGAATCCCTAGATTATTTAGTCACAAAGTAGGTGTATATTCAAGCAATAACCAGTAATCTCAGATTCTTCTGTCCGCCTCAGATTAATAAATTGTTTCGTTGAAAAATCAAGTCATAGATTAATTAGACAAATAAGCTAGATCATTGAGCCACATCATTGTTAGTGTTTCAGTTTAGTCGTTTTTTTTAAGCCATGTGTGTCGGCCATGTCATGCGCTAGCTTGCGAAAAGCTGTGATGAACACTATCCAGCCTTGATGACATAGGAAGAGTGGAAATGCTCCTTCACCTGTGTAACAGAAAACTCAAAATCTTGTATGAAGTCCAATCAAGCCACCTGTAAGTAATAAGGTTATGATATAGCTGAAATATTAACAATTCAAAATCTCAAGCTGTGATCGTGCTTTCAAAAGTGGTATGTTCCACCTTTCTCATTGCCACTACAGTCATAATAGATTGATGAACCTAGATAATTCCCTTATGCTGTGATTATATTTTGTTTTCGAATCAGTTGTCGATTTCTCTATTCTAAAAGCCTGTGAGAATTACGACACTAGTTTTCTGTGCAGTATACTTCGACCTTTGGTCAGAGATTCATTTAGAACTTTCTATCGTTTCTATTAAATGTTTCTTAATGCTTAGCCAAGACAATGAGTTCGTTGAATATGACTACATATATACGATGGTGTTTAAGAATACTGTTCATTCAAAAGTATGTTCATAAGAAACCTACAAAAGTGTGGTCTCATAACCCCACTAACCCCTTAATGAAAGTGTGTGAAAAACTGCCTATTAGGATTACTTGGTGAAGAAGACTTACAGGCTCATCGGTTTTCACAAACCCACGAAGGTTTGGAATTTGGTATTCGACAGGTTGCAATGGATTGGACTTTTCAGGAAAAAGTAGAACTTGTGTAATGTGGCAGTGTGTAGTTCCATATTAGATTGTTAATTTGATATTTCACACAGTGAAAGAGTATAATTTAATAGATGAAGTTTCCAACAATTTATTGTTCATATCCTTATCAAAGATAACGGCGAACCTTTTATATCCTGTTTTTTAGTTATATTTCCCCTTCTTCATTGTATGAATAGGAGAATAATCGGAAAAGCCATAGAGTCGTTCCTATTGCACATTTAAGATGCTGATTTGATAAACAAAGCTGCTGTTTCTTTCCAAGAAACTGGGAACTGAGGTGATTCTCCCACAAAAAAACCCATCTTTTGAGTTACGCTTAAAATCTAAAATACGAGATTTATCTTAAATACAGTACTTCATAAGTAAACATTTATGAATAATAAATGACAATTCTCGAATTGTGAGGTATCTGTGGGTTTATCGCCGCCAAAGTACCTTACAGAAAGCGCGTCAACAGTACAACAGCAGGGGAAAATGGAATACGAAGGACGCGCGTATGTCCCACTATTAGGTAAGACACGTGACAAACAGTTGTTCAGGAAAACATAGAAGATCAGAAGGCAACGAAAGTGATCAAAACACTATTATGAACAGGGGAAGGAACTTATATCTAGAGATGCTAATTGATGAGAAAGATACGATTGAACAGAATGGCCGATCAATACGAATTGCAGTAACATTTAGGGAAAATATAAATTATGCTACTCAATTATACTAAGTAGTTTGAAACAAAGCAGGGAAACAGATACAAAGTAAACGTCATTTGGGGTAAGAGGGAATAAGGTGAGAAAAGAATTAACATCAACATTAGCAACACTGGATGAAGTGAATTTCCAGTAGGCCGTTTTATCCTTATTGAAATGAGGATAATATGGTTTCAACGAATTGGTGGTACATAATTCCATAGTAGATTGTTAATTTGATATTTCACACAGTGAAACAGTATTATTTAACAGACAATGTTTACAACAGGATTTATTGTTCTTATCCATAGCAAATATAATTTCACACCTTTCACATCTTGTTCTTATAGTGATATTTCCCCTCCTTCATCGTACGAGTAGTACAATAATCAAAATATCTGGAATAGGCGTTGAGTCACTTGATATTCATTTGTTGCTTATCCGATGGACAAACCTCCACTAATCAATCTCTGCATCCACCTTACTAAGTTAGTCCTAAGGGTTATCACTGTATCTCGCCCCTATTATGTGGTTGTGTGTAATTGCATGCATAGCTATGGCTGAGCATTTTGCTGAACGCCTTACCTTACTAGGATTTCATTCTAGATTCAGTCAAATTTTAGTGCTCTGTTTTTCTTGTTAACCCCGTTCGACTACTTTCACCCATTATGTATTTGATCTCTCAGTCGTTGCATGGAATTTGATTAACTAAAACATTTTGTCCAATTGGCTCTATTGGATCTTTCAGCCTGCACAGCTTGTTTCATGATGAATTTGTTGGTTTCAGTGCCACCTCACTCGTATCTTTATTGAGAATCCTGCCTTCTGAAATAATTATGCACAGAGAAATGGAAGGAGTTGCTGTAGGATCATCAATTTCTCCAGTAGCGCGAGAAATGTTCTTGGATGAGTGGGAAGAATAAGCTCTTAGGACTTTACCACTACTTCTAAAATGTGGCGTAGGTATTGCGCTGACACATTTACAATACTGAAGTCAAGACATTTTGAATTTTTGATATACAAAAACTCACTTGTTGATGTAATGCAGTTTACTTAATAATGATAACTTAGAACCAGTCATGTTAAAATGGAGGAGAAAAAGGAGAGAAGATGGGTTCTTAAACACTAGTATATACAGAAAACCTATCCATTCCAATCGATACCTGGACTTCAGATAATCTCATCCAAGATCAGTTAAAATTGGTTTAGTGAAATGTTTAAATAGTGGGACGAAACGTATAAGCAGTAAAACAGAAAATATATGACAAGAAATAAAACACAGAAGAAACCTTGATTTTCAATAATCATCCTGGTAAAAAATACAGAAATGCATAGTAAGAAAAGTTGGAGGAACTCTATGTTAGATCAGTTTATGTGGTATATCACACAGTGAGATTGTATTATTTGCTAGATGACGTTTCGAGCAGAATTTATTACTCATATCCATATAAAGGTAATCACGTAACTTTTTATAGTTCTATCGATTTCCTGTACGGCAAATCAAATTGGCTAATCTATTTTAGAATTACATTCTTCCACAGTCACCAAATTCTGTACTTGATTTAGGATGAGAAACACAGACACAGGTAGCACGCATACTAATAGTGGCAACACCAAGAAAAGAGAAAAAAATACCTTCACGGTGTTGACACATAAAGAAGGTAACTCAGAAAGTGAAGGCAGGATTTTCAATAAAGATACGAGTGAGGTGGCACTGAAACCAACAAATTCATCATGAAACAAGCTGTGCAGGCTGAAAGATCCAATAGAGCCAATTGGACAAAATGTTTTAGTTAATCAAATTCCATGCAACGACTGAGAGATCAAATACATAATGGGTGAAAGTAGTCGAACGGGGTTAACAAGAAAAACAGAGCACTAAAATTTGACTGAATCTAGAATGAAATCCTAGTAAGGTAAGGCGTTCAGCAAAATGCTCAGCCATAGCTATGCATGCAATTACACACAACCACATAATAGGGGCGAGATACAGTGATAACCCTTAGGACTAACTTAGTAAGGTGGATGCAGAGATTGATTAGTGGAGGTTTGTCCATCGGATAAGCAACAAATGAATATCAAGTGACTCAACGCCTATTCCAGATATTTTGATTATTGTACTACTCGTACGATGAAGGAGGGGAAATATCACTATAAGAACAAGATGTGAAAGGTGTGAAATTATATTTGCTATGGATAAGAACAATAAATCCTGTTGTAAACATTGTCTGTTAAATAATACTGTTTCACTGTGTGAAATATCAAATTAACAATCTAATGTGAATTGAATTTTTATTTGATCAATGCCATTCATAGTGAGAAGTAATGGTAGGTTGGCTGTTACTTTCGCTTTTGTAGACAGGGCTTTCTATCGAAAAGCCTCTTTTAAGTAAATATTTTGTATTTTGAATTGGATGGCTTAATGCTTCTACATTCACTTTGGACTGAAGCAGATTTTGCCAATGCATCAAATACCTTCGACAAACTACGTTTTTTTATTTATTAGTTGATATTGTGTGCTCTAATATAACAACACTATTTCTGGCCTTAATAGTAGTCCGTGATCAAGGTCAAATGGTTATTCGCAATATAAGCCAATTGATCGACAAGTTTCAAACATGAACAATTTCAGTGTTATTCACTTTTTATTAACAGGTTGCCTGCATGCCTAATTGGTGGTATGATTAAGTCAACGTCCATTACAAATCTTAGGCAAAATAATTTATCTATCTATGGTTTCTCTTTACTGCAATCAAGAATAGTTATACTTTTTCAGTAAAGCTATCCAAAGACATACTTTGCTATGCATCAAGAGAGTCAATACTGCAAAAAGGAGGCGGACAGTAGACCTTGTCAATCAGTTATTTCTCCTGACAATAGTTTATCGAAACGTTCCAATAACATTTTAAGTTATTCTCTGAGTCGAAGTTTTGAGTCAACAATACGTGTTGACGACCGTTCCAATTCTGCTTCATTTATCAAAAAACAACCGCATCCGCACGCAATGCATGCTATAAGTTTGCATAGTGGACAACAACCTCATCTTCCTCAGTGGCCACCACCTGACCATCCTCCACTAACTCCAATGAACGTGGGATATAGTCGTTACTTTTTGGTGCAACAATTGGAATAATAACACATCACCGACATGGACACTTCATCGTGGTATCGGTAATCTTCAACCTCGAAATGTAAATCAGGTTATTTATGTTAACACAGACATACCAGAATTGAATCCTGAAACAGTTATAAATCAAACAGCAGTGTGTTCAGTTCCTATGATTTGGATTACTGCAAGCGATGGTACTGAAGAAATTACCACCGAAGAAATTGAAATTCTACCCATTCCTGAGACAGGATCATGGAGTAAAGTTGAAACTAATGATTCTGTAGATAATCAAACCATTGTTCATAACCTCTTTGCCATACAAAGTCCAGCTTCAGAATCACCTTACAATCATCATTTAGCATTTCAGCGACTAGTGATTCATCAAGCAATTATAAGTCAACACCCCAGTGAGGAAATAATATACGGTTTAGAAGAGGAAGAAGATAACACTGAATTTGTCTTAGTCACAGGTTCCAACTTGGATTCGCACGTTACGTTGCCTATGAGCGATGATATGATTCTTGTAGGACAGAGGGTTTTTAATAATTATGATGCAGAAATGTCTATGACATCAGATAATCCAAATTAGTCAGAATAATGAATCACTGAGTTTTGCAAAAGGAATTGTATTAGTTCTTTGAAATTCGCCTCAAATTTATTTGTTTTGTGGTCTAATAAATAATTTGGATCGTAACCGACGCTCTTTTGGATGAAGCGAGTTGCTGTTAGTTCTATTACCTCGTCTCCATTCTAATATTCTATACGGCTCACTGAAGCGACAAACTCCACTAAAACGCTGTTGTTATTCTAAAGGCATCAAAGTTGTCTGTTGGATATCTTTAGTCAGTTTCCTAGGTGTAGTCGCATCGGTAGACAGATCTCATCAAACCAAAACCTGAAGTGATCATCCCAGGACCTATCAGAAAGCTGAGTAAACGTCAGCAAGTTGAAGTGCTTAGGTGTGAATGATCATAATACACATTGAATGTTGGAAACTTTGTGGATGAGAAACACGGTTTACTGACCTACCATATAAGTACTATTTCCCTGCGACTATGTGATAGCGGAGACATAATCGATGTATTTATTTTGCAGCTTGGAACGATTAATGTTCTCGGGGTCAAACAACGCTGCACGCTGAATCACCCTTTCGTCATATACTAGTGAAGTGCTGCCTAGACATTGTAGTTGCAATAGTCTTCGTATGATGATATTGATGAACAAAACTATCAGCTTTCAGAAGTAGATGCTACTCTACAGTAACAAAATGTACTCAGTTTTCCTATCTCCTCAACGACGGTCCTGTTATTACCTTAACAATGTTGCATTATTCGGGCATCTGAGACTGCGTCTTCTCTTTGAGAAAATATGATCTAACCGATACTGTGGATTAAGACACTGGATTCAGTATTTTTTTTGTTAAAGAGAGTGGCTTAACTGTTTTTAAACTGGTTCTATTCACTGAAGTTCTAGACCATTTCCAAATTTACTGACTGACAAATCACACAACTGATATAAATTCTGTTTTCATTGTCATCTCAGATTTCATCTCATGAAGAGTAAGCTTCAGATTTCACCTTCGCCTCTGTTGCGCATTTCTACTATCGTCTGATACTACAAAGTTCTCCTTGTGGCTAGCGAAAAACTTAAAACCTAATACATCACCGAAAAAAATAATGCCATAGCTAGAAACTAACTATTTACTTTATTTAAACCATATTATTACTACAGTCAGGAAGATGAATAGTTTTTCAGAAAACGCTTTCACCTGAAATTCAATAGCTATAGGGCTTTCTAATATTACAAAAACAGGTTTAACCTGGGACTGGCCGACTTCTAGACAATTAAAAAAACTTTCGTTGGTTACATATTGCTATTTATTAACCTTTGTCAAGACAGTGTGATCTGATTCTTAAAAACCGTATCATTAACAATAAAAATAATAATAATAATACTGAACGTAACATACACAAGAATGGATGATTTGGAAAAACTTGGACACCGAGTTCGCGAGAATTATTGTATAAAGTGTGTTTTACTTATGCTATCCTGCCGTGGTATATTAGAACAAAAACAACAAAAAGTTTGTGTCACTTCTCAGAGTAACAAAATCTTGAGTAACAATTTCAAAACTGAATGCCAGATTCATACTCTTGAAACGGATATTCCTAGCAAGATCGAAACGTTGAGGAATACTAATAAATATCTGTTTATTTTGTAGTTTGTTCGAATATACTACGCCAGGATAACACAATTAAAATATAAACCATACAATGAATTATACTAACTTGATGCCCAAGTTCCTCCTAACCATCCAATCCACTGTTGGTCAGAATACTTTCAAACTTCATAATATACTTAGAAAGAGACATTTGATTTTGGTAGGTTCACCAGAACTAACAGATTGCAGTTGAGATTGTAGTTGATCATGAACTGACATGACTTGGATGAACATTGGGAACCTGGGGCACTGGACAGCTGTTTCGTCCTAATATGGGACTCCTAGTAGTGCGCACCCACGACCCTCTTGTGATCGAATCTGAGACCGTCGGGTTCCGTCGCCAGCACTTCACCATTGAGCCGCCGGGTCGGAATCCAATGGTCCATATTTCAACTTCTGTCAGTTCACGATATAGCGCGACCTAAATCCAGTGTCGTCGTTGGGTAACTGTCCGCATGTTTGACTTGGTTGACTCCACTGGTCACGACTTCTCATTGCAACTTGGCAATTCCCGAAGTTCCATTGAGAAGTCGTGACCAGTGGGGCTAACCTGGTAGCTGTGAATACAAATAGCCAATGGTGACATTGGGTGGCCGTCACGGTATATCGTGAACTGATAGAAGTTGGAAGTATGGACAAATGGATTCCCACCTACTGGCTCAATGGTAACGAGCTGCACACGGAACCCGGAGGTCTCAGTTTCAACCTATGGAGGACGCATCGCCGAGGAGTCCCATTCTGTGAAGAAAACAACTGACCAGTGCTCCCAGGTTTACAATGTTACTTCAACTGATGTCAGTTCACGATGAATTACAACCTAAAATCAATTGATAAACCTTCAGATAGATAGACTGTGTTTCATTCTGTTTATTAGAAATGTCACACGGTGAAACACTATTATTTACTGGATGACGTTTTGGACACAATTTATAGTCTACATTCATATGAAACGTTACCTATTGAATAAGGCTGTTTCACTGCGTGACATTTTTACTAAAGAGACTAAAACAGAATTACAACCTAGCATAGTGCCGAAGTTTTACTCGTATATTAATGGAATTAAGAGATGCTTGTAAATGCATCCCTCCATCAGCTAAGCACAATGAAATGGGTAGGGAGCTTATATTCAAAGCGACAAGTAATTCTTGGTTGTATTATGTTCTCTGGGCTGGATTATTTAATCGTGTTCAGAGAACACAATACAACCAAGACCATCCACCTGAGCTACAAATGTTCTCCACTATAACAAATAATTCACTCTTGGGGATTTTTAAAATGTTCTGAATTAGTTGTTTTCGAAGTAATAGCAAGACAAAGGAAAAATGTCATATTAAACAGAAATGGACTTTAAATGCACAAAAATACACCACATTTCTATCCTTCGGAAAATCTACCTTCTACTGAATGAACCACCACCACTAAACACCGGACGCCAATCCAGTACCAACTGGTTGCTTGACACTATTACCTTTGATGCTGTTATTATGAACATCATTCAGACGCCATAATCATTTTGTTTGAAAATATTATTTTGGGAGAAAATTCGTTGGTATATTACATGCCAAGGTATCAAACAAACTGTTTGGAATGGGGCTATTATTGTTGTTTTCATTTAATTTCTCGCCGTTAGATGAACCGAGTTGAGCTACCACTACTGACATTTAGACTCTTGTGCAGAAGTGCCGGTATTGGCCTTATTTCCAGTTTTGTAACTAATGATGGATATTGACTAGCAGTGGAATCTAGACCGCTGTAGCATTTGAAGTGACTGGTCCTGGTTTCGATTCCTAGTGAGAACAATATCACTGCCTAAGAAGCAAGTACATCAGACTTACAAGTCCCAAATAGGATAAAACGCGCATTTTGGATTCCACTGACTGCCAATATTCGTCATCAATATCAGAACCGAAAATACCTACAATATCGAGGTATCCACACAGGACCCCATATGCAATAGTGGCCTACCAACTTGATCCGATCAACGATGGGAAATTACGTGCAATAACTTGAAAATATGTGAAAGATTGTCTACATATCAAAATGCTCAACGTATATTCCAGGATGGAGGTTGAACGAATGTCTTCCAGATATTGATGTTATTATTATTATTAGTCCTTTGGATTCCTAATGGAATATAGGGCTTCAGTAGCACATCTCCAATGCACTCTCTTCTCTGCAATCTCTCGAACCTGGCTCCACGACAGCCCACAAGCTTTCATTTCTTCCTCACACGATCTCCTCCATGTCACCCTCAGACACCCAACTCATCGTTTCTCATCTGGGTTCCACTCAAGGAACTGGCCTGACGCGTGATGTCCCCAATCGGCCTTCTCAGTGTATGCCCAATCCAATCCATCTCCACTTCCTTCTGCATATTTGTTGAGTGATAGATTCTTGTTTAGTTCGTTCTCAGAGTTCCTCGTTGCTTGTTCTTACTATTTTGGCCATCTGAGCTTCAGTAACGAGCCAGCGTAAGCAGTTGTTGATGAATATCTGTAGTTTGCTGGAAATCCTTTTCGTGACGCGCCAAGTTTCTGAACTATATAGAAGCACTGACTTGACGTTGGTGTTGAAAATCCGGATCTTGTTCACGTTTTATGCTGAGTGCAGAGGATCTCCATACTAGTTTCAGGTTAATGAACTCCTATCTTGCTTTTCCGATTCTGACTTTGACATCCTCGTCTGTGCCGCCTGTAGTTGAAATAGTGCTATCTATAGATATTGATATAGGTTACAAAAAAGGTAAAAGCTCCAGACGATTCACGCTAGTTGAGAAAATTATTATTTTTATTATTATTATTATAATTGAGGAAATAAGATGAGTTGAAATCAGGTAGTCGGGTCAAAAAGTGAAACAGAATAACATTTTAGGTGCGTGAATCAATAATGTTCACTTGAAAATATCATGTTTATCGTTAACGTAAAATTTTGCCATGTTGAGGACGGACTGATAACTGTATCTTTCTGAATGCATAAATTTGGTATTAATCATTTAATTAATGTCACTTTAAAGAAACTTGATGCATTTGACTTCATCCGTTTATATATTATTAATGTCGGTCATTCACACATTCACTCTTCAGCAGGTTTGAAAAACAGGTAAACTTACTAATGAATGACAGCTATCACGTTTCTTGATGTAAAGACGCCACTTGGCTTCGTCTGTCAAAAAATGTGGCAGCATCTGATTGTGAAGAAACTAAAGAGGAAATATATTATGCCAAGCAAGATTCATCACTCAAACTCACGTGGCAGTGTATAAGTGTATGGGGGATTGTCGTTGAAGTGAAAACCGACCAAGGCTGTCAGCTGCCAAAACTGCTGTCCTACTTTGTTTGAAAATGTTGTCATACACATCATGCTAACCT